AAACCCCCCAGAGCATGGGATTGGATGAGAGTGGACTCAAATTGCATTGTTTTCTCTGGATTATTTCCTCTCTGTATCTTTCTCTTCAGTCCTTAAAAGGTTTGAGGAGAAAATACCTTACCATTAGACTCAAAGGAAAGCTACTTGCACAGGGACCCACCCAGACTAAAAGCACATTTATATCATTTGTTAGCATCAACATTATTCTGCTTGCTTCTAAACTCTTAACTGTAAAGGAAGTTAATGGCTTAGGGATAAACATAATGGAAAACTGACAGTGATGTGGTACATTTATAGTGTAATTTGATTACCATGAGGATCATAAAATTTGGTTTCTCAAAGCATTGACTTATGTATTTTTTTTGTATTTTTGTACATTTGATTAGGAAGTTCTCTCTCTCAAAAAATGTACTCAGCACTGTGATGCCTGGACCCACTATAAATATCTCTTTGTTGTAAATTGCATTTTCTGAATATATATCTGAATATATTTTAAGACATAATGTGCACCCCCTGAGATTGGTGATGCACCCCCTGAAAGAAGCACTGCTGATGCTGCTGGCGGTGCCTGTGATGCCTGCGAGTGGTCAGCACTGGCCATCCCCCCACCACCCTGTCCCACGACACCACTGGCAGCATCTGTGGGTGGTTGCTGATCACTGCTGGCTGCCACTGCCACTGCTGGCAGGATCTGCAGGAGCTCCCCATTCACTGCCACCATGCCCCTGCCACCGACATCACTGCCACAGCCTGTGGGCGTTCACTGTGCCCCCCAGCCTCTGGGGACATGCATCGTTTATGGAGCTAAACAAATTAGATAATGAAGGTTCTTTAAAAATATTTATTCATGTAAATAACAAATGAATTAACAACTTAGAATTAAATATAATCAAGATAACATGTCATATATATAGTCATAGTTGATATAATAGTCATATATAAAGAAACAGGAAGTCAGACAAACATAATTAATATAAATTTCTCTTTGTTTTTAGGTGAGAGAAAGAATTAACTGTTAAGTGTGATATTGCGGGTTTGTTGTAATATTCCTGAGTTAAATGTGTTTATGCTATAGTGATGTTGCATGGATCAATTTTTCAAACTAGCTTATGCCCAGGCAAAGGAAAGAATTAAACTGTGTTTGGAAGAATAAACTGTGGAACTGCTCTTGCATAATCGTGATGGTGATGGACATGCTGGCTCGTGGACGCACGGGACTGTGGTGCAGATCTTGTGATGGGCATGTGTTTGATGTAATTGCAATAATGTGCTTTGGATTGTTGAGTGGTCACAGGACAGATTGGTAGAGATACTGTGATATGTGTGTGTGTGTGTATATGTGTATAAATAGGAATATATATTTTTGCAAAAAAAATGAGGGGACTGGACCATCAAATTTGAATAGGTCAGTTTGCATATGAAGACATATGACAGCACCAAAAGGATTCCACCCTTAGCACATGAAGGGATTTCCTCCAGTTTCTAGTTTGAAGAAAGGACTTGAAAGTGGAAGTGAACTTGAGCAATAGGGACTCATCTAGATAAGGAGGAAGAAAGATACTGAAGGAGTAGGAGAGGAGCCATAAAGGCTTGTGAGAAAATATCTGCAGCTGTGTTCCCTGACAGGGACTGCATGGGATTCATGTTCCAAAGACTGGGCTTGCTTTACTGAGGTTGACTAACTCCTATTGTTTTTGTTTAAGAGATGTCTGCTTTGCTGCGTGTGATTTGGGTGCACTCTGTCTGCTGTAAGATGTGAAATCCCTCCAAAGGAGATAAGCCATAGAGGGAGGGCATGGAGAATGAGGCTGCTCAAGGACCCACAGAGGCAAGGACTCAGAGTTCAAGAATCAAAGTCTGACCCTCTGCTGAAGCTGTTCCCAGACTAGCTTCAGGAGGTACTCAGATTATATATGGTCCCAAATAAGTGCTTCTCTGGGGAAACCATGACAATAAGAGAGCAAGACATCGTCTAATACTAATTCAGAGGCTGGTGGCTGCTTCATTAGAAGTGGAAAGAATGGCTACACTTTTATTTCAGGTTGATGTTACATACCATATGCACACAGGGGGCACATCTATGTGAGACGCTACTGCTCAGGGTTACAGTGTATTTATTTAGTACCTGTATAATCAAGTATACACATGCATTTTTTTGCCATGTGACAGTACTGTGCGGTAGTATCAGGCTACTACATGGGCAGCATCTCATATAGAAGCACCCAGGAAGCCCTAACTTTGACACCCAATGGCAGCCTTATCTGGCCCTAGATGCTCTGCTGATCTGTAGGCTCTGAGGTTGAGGTTTTCTCTCTCTCTTGCCCCTCAGTGCAGTGTTGAAAAATTCACAGGTGCACTGCAGGCTATTACTGCTGAAAGTCTGTCATTAACAATTCCCTAAGCATCACTGTGGACCAGGAGTGGACAAAATATAGACCAAGGGTCATATATGGCCCACCAGTTGATCCTATTTGGCCCACTGGCCACTGCCACAAGCTGGAGGAGGTAGGGCTGAGCCCCATGCCTCTCCGCTCTGCCACAGCTGGGGCTGGGCAGTGCAGTGCGCAGACTCGTCTGCCCTCCTCTGCCCCCTGCATCCATCCCCACCTACCCGGCGTCCTGGTGGAGTTGCAACTGTGCGGTCCTGGCACTATGGCCACCAGCAGCTAGACCTGTACAGGATGGGGCATGATGCAGCATGCTAAGTAGCCATCTTGCCCACCCACCTGCCCGTAGCAATTTAGCCACTGCCACCAGAGCACCACTGGAAAGTGATTCTGTGACAGTTGTGGGGGGCTCATCCCAGGGCATCTTTCCTCAAATTTCTTGATGTGGTGACGTGACAGCATCAGTTCATTGTGGTGCTGGTCAAGCAGGACAACTATTCAGTACACTGCATCATGCCCCATTCCATGTGGGCCCAGCTGCTGGCAGCCGTGGTGACAGGACTGCACAATTGCAGCTCCAACAGGAAGCTTGGCCAGGGGAGGATGGATGTGCTGTGGAGGAGGAGTCTGCACAATGAGGTGCAAAAGTAGTGGAATATTGACAGGTTGTTTTTTAAATGGTGTTTATTGATGTTATCATGAAGAGAGCTACAAAGTAAGCAGAGTTAAATAGATATGCAGGAGGATTTTAGCTAAAAAGCAAAGCAACCACACTTTGGGAAAAATACTTGGGATTTGATATTTAGTTGTGTGGTGTCAGACTTTTTTTGGAATGGAGTTAATATATTTGTTTGTTTCTTTGTTTTCCTTTCCCTCCTCCATTTGAATTCAGCTTAAAGTTTCAACTATAAATTTGCATAAGGATGCTGCAGTAGGTTACCTTTAAACCCTTCTAAACCTGTGGAATGTTAGGCGGTTTTAAAGACGGTATCGGAGCAGTCACAGATTAAAGCCAAGCAGCGGCGATGTGTAGAGGGTGCATGGGAGTGCACATGCCCCCCCTGAGAGTGCCAGGGCACCCTGTCAGCCAGCGTACCTGGGAGAGGTGGGGCAGGCAACAGCGCTGTTGCCCCCACTGACAGTGCCGGCCAGGGGTGCACCAGGAGAAGTGTTCCTCTTCCGGTGGCTGATCCCAATCCAGAAGTGCCAGCGGTGTGCCAGGAAGTGCTAGTGGCTTGCTGCTGCCAGTTGCGGGCCGGCAGGATCAGCCTCCGCAGGGGGACCCTTCCCCCAGTTGGCAGGATTGGCCACAGGGGGCCACCCCCTGGCTTGTGAGATCGGCTGTGGGGGAACGCCCCGCACAGTTGCTGACTGTCCAGTCAGGGAGGGCAAGTGGCACCAGTCATCAACTCAGGTGGCACCAGTCACCCATGAGGCCAAATGCTGCTCCTAACCTGCACTATTTAGACTTGTAACTAGAGGACCTGGAGACCAGAGGTGTGGCCAACAGCCAGACTCTTTTTCTCCTCTGGGAGCAGAGCCTGGGAGTTGAGGGCAATGAAACCATAGATCCCAAGAAAGCATTCCTCCCTCAGCTTTATGCTGTCATCATGCTCAGTGCTAGAGTCCTTTTTCCCTCTCCCCTGCCCTGGAACACAGAAGCTGTGCCCCCACTCCCCCAAATTCTCTTGACAAGGGGAGAGCTGCCCAGATGTGGGGCAAGATCTTATCCCTTTGAGGGGAGGGGAGTGTGCCTGACCTCCAGTCCAGGAGCTCAGATTGGGTATCTTGGGATCCTTGAAACCAGCAGCATGGTGCCATGTGCGATGAGGTTGGACTCACTGGGGTTTGGTGGGTGTGTTGGCTTGGTGCCAGTCCCACCCATCGGCAGTGGAGCTTGGGAGGGTGGAAAGTTTGGCAGGTGTAGAGTGGTCAGGAGCCAGGCATCCAGGGATGCTGGATGACTGCAATTTGGTCTCTGTATCTCCATGGAGAAGACTAACACCCTAACTCGAGGTAGGTAGAATGGCTGTATGATAACCCGCATCTGAAGTGGTATAACTTTAAAATTCGTAGCGAGTACTTAGCACAGTTTGACACCCTTTGTTTTTGGGCATGCCCATTTAAATTTATTTAAAATAATTTAAAAGTAACCTGTAACACAACCTTAAGTGTGCAGAACTAAAAATACTGTTAATAGGCATTTCACAGCACAAGGGCTCAGAAAAGGTTGATTCATGATGATACAGATTTGCCTTTTTATGTTTCACCATTCTTTTTATCACTGTGTGTTTATACAGAGGAAATTTAAAGTCTGCTCTGTGTCTCTGTCACTCATTTAATAAAGAAGCTGCAGCCACTTGTTATCAGGAGCAGATAGTGTATAACACACATTTGAAAACAAACAGAAAAACAAAATTCAAGGTTAGTGCCATTCCAAATAAAACTTAAACTGAGCATTATCAGTCTAATTTGGTTTTCATTCAAAGACAATAGGAGCTTTGCTTCACATTTCAGTAGAAGGATGGGTGTTCCTATCTGGTTTTGTTGAGACCTGTCTAGAAGGGTGAAGAAAAATACACAAATGCATGTGTCCTTTATTAAAGAACAGTGGGTAACCATTACATCATTGGTTTGTTTGGCTCTGTGATACAGAATTATATTAATTCAAGTACAGTCATTTGTGTAGAACAAAGTAGGAGTTTTACTGGGTTGTTGTTGTCATTTCAAGTTCTGCAGAAGCAGTCTCGCGTTCACCTCTGAAATTTACCTCTTCCTCAAAGACCTTCTGGAGTGCAACTCTCAGAGTGTCCCTGAACTGTCGATCCCTGTAGCTCCCAACTAGGAAATAAATGGCTGGGTTGAGACTGCTGTTTACACAAGATAGCACAAAACCAATCTCAGGAGAATATAGAAATTTGTAATTCCAAAAATCAAGCAAGAGCAGGGCACCCAGGGGAACAGCAAAAATGAGAAAGAAAAGGATGGTGAGAAGGATCACTGTAAATAACCTTCCTGTTTTGAAGCGGTGGGAACTACAACAAACTCTGAAGACCAGGGTTAGACCAGACAGAACCATAAGGGGGGTGCAAATCAGGAAGTCCAGCACACCAATAGTTATGAGTATTTGCTGACAATTGTGCAGCGTACTCACACTACAGGAAATGTACCCCAGTCCACAAACTAGGAACGAGAGGGCCCACAGCAAGGCTGACATAATGGAAGACAAGTGCTTTGGACGGTGGCATCGGAACCAGACTGGACAGAGGACAGACAGACACCTCTCAATGCTGATGGTTGTCAGGAGGTACAGGCCAGTCCCATACATGAAAAGATCCAGGAACAGGAATATTCCAAACTGAACTCCTACATTAAACTGCATTAAATATTGAACTGTTTCAATTGCAATGCACAGGAGATAGCCAAAGTCAGAGACTGCCAGGTTCAGGATGTAGACGGTGAAGGGGTTCCTTTTAATGTGGAAGCCAAGGAACCAGATAACTATCCCATTCCCTACCATCCCACATGCTGAGCTGAGCAGGCAGAAACTCTCCATGAACTTCAGCACAGCATACGATGCCTCCATCTCTGTCTTAGTATCATTCAGACTAGCCCCAGGATCCATGCTGGTCTTTGCCAAGGGCAAGGATGTTGCGATCAATGCACTCATAATGGGATTTCTTCAGAATGCTTGTTTTTCCTTTTCCCCCTCTGTCTTGCTTTTTCACACAAACCTGTGAACAGGGAAGAGAAAAGGGATGTAGTATCTTGGCCAATACGAGTGCTCCGTTTCAAAATTATTTTAACCTTACCCAAACTCATGGCCTGACACAGCTGAGACTACTGTCTCAAAAGAGACATATATCTCAGCACCTAGAGTTAAGTCCTATTCCACTTCACGTGTTTTAATGATACAGAAGTAGTTGCATAACTACAGTTTTTGGCATTTCCCCACAGCTTACAATTCAATATTGTCATACCTTGTGCGGGAAGCCTTAAAGCATGCCTCCTACCTTTTAGCTTAGTAGGTTGGGCATTTGCCCACAGAACTAGAGACCCAGGCTCTGGCCCCTCACTTTATCTCATCCTGCCCAGAGAGGATTTGAATCTCTGCCTCCTGTTTCCCAGTAACCTACTCTAACCACTGAGACATGGGCCAAGAATTCCCTTCAGAATTCCCTTCAGGCCTCCTCTTGAAGTTGGCCAACTCCCAGCATAGGGAGATACATTGGGACAAGGAGGAAGAGAACAAGACAGAGGGTGCATGGCTTAGTTAGATGTATATGGCCCTAAAAAGGAAGAGCTCCTTGGTTACCTGGGCCACTGTTCCCAATGGGCCATATACTTCCCCAGTGCTGTTTTTCTGATAAATAGTAAATGGAAGATGCAGGGCTAGAGAATGAGCCAAGTAATTCCTAGCCTATGGTTTGATTATTTCAACCCTTTGCTGAGAAGCAGCAGATGTATTTTTAAACATGCTCTGTAGACCAGAGCCTGGAGCTCCTGCCCCTTGGACTAATGCTATTGAGCTAAAAAGGCAGGAAAGATAACCTCTTTCAATTTACATCCAGTAAGTACATATTCAAGATCATTCACAGAGAATTCCAAACTATAAAGAACTCCCCAAAACAGCAGTTATGCTGCTACTATGTGTCCCCTTACGTGTATATGGTTAAATAGGATTAAATCTTCTATGTTACAGTACCTAACTTTTAGTTATACTGCCCCGGTGTAGTTACCAAACCCGAGTAATGTACCTATGTCTCTCTATTTACTTCATGGGGAGAGGTAGCTTCCTAGGTTTAGATTTCACAGGAGCATTGAGCAGGGAGCCACCTGGACTTCCAGGATATTCTAGGGCTGGACTATCTCTTTCCTGCTAAAATTCATTTAATTTATTTGAAAGTAATGAAAGATTCATGAAACCAGAGGCAGAAGGATTGAGCCTGAATGCATTCCCAATTTCAGTGCACTTATCTGGGTACATAGACATCTGAACCCCTTTTTCTTCTTCAGTGAATGTCTGCTGAGAGGCTGATCTTATGAGCATGTGTGTAAGGGCCACACTAAGGCAGCTGTGCAACTACCAGTTTGTGTCTCATTACAATGCTTTTTGTTACTTTCCTGTGAAATGTCAGAGGAGTAAAAGAAAGAAAGTGTCTAGCATCCCAACATGGAAAGGCTAGTCTGCTGATCTTGTAGGAATGGGAGATTTAGAGCATACAACATCTTGGACTGAAGTTAATGCTGATTGTTGTCTCTCCATATTAGGAATCAAGCAAGGCCCGACTAATCTTGTAAACACTCAAAGGAGGATGATACAATAACAATATGAAAGAAACACTGAATCCTGAAAAAGTATTCCATTGTTAAAGGATTATCATGCTTGGCCCAACCAAAACTTTCTCCTCATCCAATGTAATAAATACCACAGCAGGTTCAGAGTTTGCTAGAAGTAAAACCATCATGGATTAAAAAAATACCATCAACAACTCAATGGTTTGGGATAAATACACAGACAGTTTGCAAGTAATTCCTAAAGCCTTGGATAAGAGCAAGTAAATGCAACAAAGAATAGAAATCTCCAATGTTTCAGGTTGCAAAGGTTTACCTCTTTAAGTATAGCACCAGGGCATCTGCTTCTCCCAGATACGGTCTATCATCATGAGGCCAATGTCAGGACCAATAGGATCCCAAAGGGTTAATTATAATTCAAAGGCATTCATCTGATAATTAGGAATTGGCTTGGAAAATGCTACTCAATCACAATAAAGATATCTTTCTGCGGTTACTAGTGCTCCAAGAGTAGACTGAACCAAAGTTTTACTGGAATCGACCCAGTCCCTTGGGCCAGTATAGTTAATGCATGCATGTTTCTGTAGCCAGCTGTGCACAGGAGAGTAACTGGCTTGTTTTACTTCCAGCCACTTCTATCTTCATAATCTGAACCTATTTAAATATCAGTTAACTGGTATGGTGGAGGGTTGACTAGGACTGGGGAGAGAAGCCTTCACCGTGAGTCAGGAGCAAGGCTTAAATATAGACTTCTGGACCCATAGTATGGTCATTTAACTCAGGGGCTTACCAAGTTTTGGTAAGCTGTTGAGAGCCACAAGGGTAGCTCCACCACTTGACAGGTGCCCCACCCCCTGTTCGCCATCTATGGACCAGAAGTCCCGCCCCCTAACCCCTGACCTTTGTCACCAGAAGTTCCTCCCCTTGCTCCCTGGAAGTACTCCTTTCAGCAAGGGGGTTTGCCACATTGGAGCCAGAAAATTAACCAATTAGATTCTAGAAATTAAACATCTACTACAACATTCATTAATTTGATTTGAAAAAAAATATTTTTGTCCTGATTTCTATGTGTTTGTGTCGTGTACATAGAGGTGATTGTTTAATAGCTTAAAATGAAGTCCTACTCATGTATATTGGGTGTGTGGGGTGTGGGGGAGGGTGTGTATGTGGGGGGAGCTTGTGAGGGGGTGGATAGACATGGGGGTGTGTGTATGTGATGTAGGGGAGCATGTGGGTATGTGTGAGGTTTGTGCAGAGGTGGATAGATGTGGAGGGTGTGGGCATGTGTGCATGTGGTGTGGGGAGGGTGTGGGTGTGTGTGAGTTCTGCGGGGGGTGGATAGGCATGGAGGGTGTGAGGGTGTATGTATGTGGGGTGGGGGAGCATGTGGATGTGTGGGTGGACATTAGGGGTGTGGGTAGGTATGGAGTTTGTGGGAGACTGTGTGTGGGGGGAGGGTGTCTGGGGAGGGTTCTGGCATGTATGGAGGGGGAGGGTTTGCCCACAACCCCCCTGTGGCAGGCAGAGCCCCTGCCAGCACTCCTCCAAGCCCAGGCTCCGTCCTTCTGCCATTTCTGCCTCTGGGGCACTGGTGTGGGCCCCATGTCCTGCTCATCACCACTTCCCCTCCATCTGCTACTGCTGCCTTTCTTCTGCCACTTCCCCATTCCCCGCAAGCACTCCACCACCACATCCCAACTGCATGGCTGAGACCTCAGGATACAGGTGGAGCCAACCTGGCCCAGCCTGGCCAGCACCGCATGGAGCCAGCCAAGAATCACAGGTCCAGAGCTTCAGTCGGGAACTGTGTGGTGGTACAGTGCAGGCCAGGGATTGTGGGGGGTGGAGAGGAATGGTGGCAACAGCGGGCAGGAAAGGGGGAAATGTTGGTGGCAGGTGGTGGGGGAGTTGTAGTGGGTGGGAAGTAGGAGCTCAGCAATAGCTGGGCAGGAGACCTAGAGCAGAGCGGCAGGGTCATGGTGCCCAGGCCAGCAGGGGCTCTGTGGAGCTGGGCTGGGCTGCACCAGCAGCGAGAGGGGGCCCCTGCCAGCACGGGCCCCATGCTCACACCCAGCTCTCACTGTGCTTCCCCGTGCCTGCTCACTTCCACTCTCCTCACTCTCCTGCCACCTACTGCCGCCATTTCCCTGATTTCCTGCCTGCCGCTACCGCTATTCCTCCCCGCCCATCCCCAACTCCAGCACCATGTGGTTCCTGGCTGCAGTACCAGAACTGCAGGACCCAGCCCAGTCCAGCCCTGAGGATTGGGGCAATTGCCTCATCCCTGCCTGCCCCTCCTTCTTATCTGAATTTCCCTCTCCAGCAGAGGGAGGTGGGAACAGCTCCAGGGACTGTTAGGCTTCTGGCTGGGGGTGGACTGAGGCCAGGCAGGCCTTTCTGCTGCAGCTGCTTTGTCCTGCTGCTGGCTCCTTCTGGGTCCTAGTGCCCTTGGTGCCTTGTCATCTTTGACCAGCAGGCAGGGGCAGATAAATATTAATTTTCTAAATTTTTTAGCAGCCCCACAGGTCAGACAGAATAGCTTGGCTGACTGAATCTGGCCTGTGGGCTGTATTTTGCCTGCCTCTGATTTAACTACTGTGCCAGTGCAAACCATGAGGAAGCAAACACTTGAATAATATCAGAGCCTTGAAACAACTTTGCATTAAAGTACTAGTAGGAAGTACAAGCAAGGAGATGGACAGATGAGGGAATGGGAAATTGAAGAAGCAACCAATATGCTTGTGCTACATTTCAGAGCATAAAAGTGATGTGCACTAGCTTCTATGAGGTGGGTGGAGATGATTTTTTGTGAGTACTGTTTAACCGTGTAGTGTGAGGAAAAGTGGTATAACAAGAAGGAGGTGAGTGTGGCACATACCTCCAGCAGTGTCTAACAGAAGGGAGATGCCAGAATTGACCAAGGAAGGCACAGACCTGTGTCAGGTGTAGGACACTCTAGGACAGTGGCTCTCAATCTATTTGCTATAGTGGAGCACATTTGCAGCTCTCAGTGTGTTGTGTGGGTCTCACCCGCACAATTTACTTCCTGTGTATCTATTTAAAAATGGATGTGACAAGATGTCACATGGACTGCAGTGCTGATTGGGTCATATGTATTCCACAAGCCATGAGTTGAGAATCACTGCTCTAAAAATTGTAATTTTCAAGAGTGAAACAAAATTACTGCTGCTGAGGGGGAGATTTCATTCCATGTTCTTGTTGCAGAAATCAAAAGAGATTTTTTTGCCCTCTTGACATGAGTATCTTCTGCAAAAAACAGGGTGAATTCTCCCCTGAACAGCAGCAAAATCCAGCAACACTCTAGTGACTTATAATTCCCAGAGTACCCTTCACTCTGTAACACAAAATTTCAGGCTGAAGCTTCTGGAGGCAAAGGGAGAGGGGGA